AGAAATGGAATCACGGTTTGGGGCCTTCCAGCCAAGATTTAAATCCATACAACTTGTCCAACCTAAATGATTATTGGCATCCATATTTAACTGTCTATTCAAATACATAATAGAAGTTTTCTTAAAACTAGCAAACAAAGATCTAACATCATGATCTACAAGATCCAAAGCAACCAAAGAACAAAGAGAATTAATACAATCTACCACAGACATGGCATCACATTGGACAAAAATTCTATCTAGCTTAAGATCCTTAGCTATTTACAAGTTCCATCTAATGGCAAGGATTTCAACAATGGTCGGTCCAACCGAAATGAGTTCCTTTCGACAAACCGCATACACCACCTTCAAATCATGAGCTTTAATGACACAATCAAAAGTCGCAAATCATTCAATAAAACAACCTGAGTCAACTTGGATCACAGACAAGCCCTTTTTAATAAAAATTTCGTTACAATCTTAATCATGATTCACCTTCAGCCTTGCCATCAGATTCTCTCTGTTAAACTCCAGAACAAAATCCATCACCTCTACTGCCATAGCCCAATGATCACTATTCTTCTGTTGAAAGTGAACAAAATCCATCATCGCTACTGCCATAGCCCAAGGATCACTATTCTTCTGTTGAAAGTGACAAAGATTGCTCGAATTGCAAATTTTCCTGAGGACGGTGCACATTAATTGGGTTTTCATAGAATCCGCTCCATTTAAACAATTCAGCAGCTAATCAGTTAACTCAATCTTGGAAGGAGTTCGAAATCCTATAGGGGAAGAAAAACAGGCAAGACGAGAGAATTTGCAATGCAAAAATAAATGTTGGGCAGACTTAGGAGAAGAAACGCATAAAGAATAAAAGGGGTCTAATTTGATGCCTTTTTTTGAAGGTTAGTTTTTATAGGCAGAATATCCTTACCAAGCCTCCACAAAATTTTTTTTGACTCTTAGATAAAGGTGGAAATGCTAGAACTTTTTTCATAAGTTCTAATAGGGATTATTATAAGGGTCAGGGTTCTTTCTTATCTTCATTTGGTGGAGAATATGATATGCTAATCGAACCAAGTAGACACCATCTTTCTCGCTATGCTAAATTAACTCATCAGCGGGCCTACGAAACGAGAGAGGGGTGTTGAGAATTTAAGAAGCCTCCACTAAATCAAAACAAGCTTGTACCATCTCACTCTTCTAGCAACAAAGATCATGGTCGATCGAATCACTCACTTTGGCGTTACCATAAAAAACACACACTTTGAGGATTAAAGCCACCAGTGCTAAATAGCCAATTGTCTTTTTAGATTCTACCTTTCATACCAGTCCCTATTCTCCATCAAACACCTTTGGTCATAAGGTCTTTTGGATTCAAAATACTCCTTCAGGCATAACTCGGGGCAAAACCAATAGAAGCATCTGCGGTAAAACATTTGGGCTAATAATGATCCTTGAAACCCTTGGAAAGAATGGATTCTTCGCCTGAAAGCAACATCCATAAGTGCGCTTCCCCAAAATACTACTCTTAAAATTACCAATCCCTGTGAATACCATACCTACAAAGCCTTTAGAGCCACTCATTCTCTCCCAGCTGAACCAATGGATTTTTCGTTCACTGTTTATTGATCCCCCACCAAAACTTAGCTAGCATGGACTCAATTTCTTGGTAGATACCTTCAGGAAGCTTGTAATAACTCATAATGTAACTCAGGATGGCTTGAGCTACAACTTTGATTAGAACTTCTTTCTCTGCTCGGGATAAAAACTTCTCTTTCCAGCCTTTTATTCCCTTAGATTTCCAACTTGACATGCCCTACAGAGAGCATATGAGTGATAGTCAAGATCTGGCAGTCCTTTAATAAGTTTTTGCTTGCTAAGTTTAGAGATTAATCTCCAGTTAGCATGACCTAACCTTTTGTGCCAAATTCATTTCTCATCACTCATTGTCATTAGGCAAACAACCTTCTGATCAGCCAACTCAGAAAGATTTATTTTATAAACATTTTCCTTCTTTTTCCCTTTGAATACAATGGTTTTGTCAGTATTAATAACTGAATAAAATTTTTTATTAAATATTACTCCACAACCACTATCACACAATTTACTTATGCTTAGTAGATTATGCTTTAAGCCATCTACCAGCCAAACCTTATTGATAAGGGTTAGATAGTTGTCAATGGTACATGTACCAATGATCTTTCCTTTTTGGCCTCCTCCAAAACCCAAACATCCCTCATCTTTCAGATTCAGGGTTTGAAACATATGCCTTTCTCCCGTCATATGACGTGAGCAGCCACTATCCAGACACCACGATTGGTTTCCCATCTTTTCCTTTAGAAATATCTACAACAAATACAATTTGAGATTTAGGTACCCATACACATATGGGTCCTTTCATGTTAGTTTTAACAGGTTCTTTCCTATCATGTCCTTTTTCCATGTAGAAGAGTTTAGCTTCACTGTAAGTTTTTTGTTTCCAGAAATTTTGACTGGAGTTATTTTCAACCTTAGTTTCTGAATCTTTCTTAACCTTTGACTCGGATGTTTTAAAATATTGATGTAATTAAAACTTTTGAACTACTGGGTTCTGATATTACAATATCTTTTAACTTTTGATCAATAGGTTCTGTTAGATTCATAACCTTTTCATAATCAGCGGCAGGAACAAAATAGTTGCTTAACATTGTCTGAACAATGCTAGAGGAACAAGGATCTGAGAATACTTTATATAGTGACATATCAGAACTAGAACAATCTTTGTTGTACCCCAAACCTTCTATGTTATTTCTGCCAATTCCATAAATCATAGATGCAAATTTAGTTCTATTAATGTCATATGTGATGAATTTATGAAATGCTAGATCATGCTTACCTAAAGTGGAACATTCATTTTAAGACAAAATCCATGTTTAGGATAACTCCTCGACACTTTGACAACTAGGTCTTTCAACACACATACTAGGTTATTCAATAACTTCCTTGTCCTCGTCGAACAACCTGTTTTGACACAAGGAATTACAATTCAACAAAAGAAACTTCATAGCCTAGACTGAAATAATATTCGAAAGTGCTCTTCATGTCATCAACGGATCCAACCCATAAACAATAAAAAAATTTACACAACTCCAAGTTTTGGAGCAATTAACCTGCTATCCCCTCAATTAAACATGACACCCTCACATATTTCCATAATTTTCAAATTGTCTATGGATAAATTTGAGTCAAAAATGTGAACGTAATTTTCGGTAGTTCATTCAAAATTTACAGAAACAGACTAAATTTTCGGCAGTTCATTTTTAAATTGCTGCAATGAATTTTTTATCGATTTATTGAAAAGTGTTGTTGTTTACCAAAAATTTGAAAAGTGTTGTAGTTTATCGGAAATTTCGAAATTTTCAACAATATAAAAAATATTTCAAAATTTTCAATTTTTTTTTAATTTCGGTATTTCTTCACAGTTTTTCTGTTAATCATTGATTTTTTTTACCGAAAATTTAAAAATTTCCTATATTTTTTTTGAAAATTCTAGTGAACATAATAGAAATTTTCCAAAAACTTAGGAAGAACTTTGTAATAGTAGTTAGAATGTAAAAAATATCAGATTTAGTTAAAGGGATGGCAAATTAAATCCTCAAAGTTTTGACACAGCTTTAACTTATCTCAATATTAGTCTTGTGCCTACTAAATGCATTTCACTAGTACAATAGATAAATTAGGAGAGGAGACTTGCCACAAATAAAATGTTTGGCCTTGTTTCAATGAGATACATTAAACATCCAATCAAACACTCATGTATCCTTCATCAACATTATTAGCACCATCTTCCTTGCTCAACTTCTTCTTTTGATTCATTGGTGTGCTACCAGCTTTACACTCGTCCATTAGGATTCTTTCCCAATATTTGCATATTTTTTCTGGCAGGTAATCACTTTATCGTCATTTTGTCTGATCTCAATTTCAAGAAGATAAGTCATAAGACCATGATTTGTCATTTTAAAATCCTACGTCATTTCTTGTTTGAATTGTTTGATTTGTCATTTCAAAATAAGTCATAAGAGACCATTATCCTTATATCATATTCCGTCATTAAAAGATCATCAACATAGAGAAAAGATATGAGAAGATTATTTCTCTTATATTTCAGAGTGGCCCGGATATGCATTTTACAAAGCCTACTCAATAAGTGGTCCTTTGTCTTTGATTGTGAAAAGAAATTAGAGTTTTAAATTGTGGCATTTAAAATATCAAGTAGTTTTAAATCTAGTATTTAAAATATCATAAATAATTTTTTTTAATATTAGAATAAAAAAATTAAACTTTTTAAATCAATTTATTAAATAAACTAAATAACTTTTTTAATATTTTAAAAATATTAATTATGAATTGATATGCAACTTCTTTTATTTCATGCATTTTTACCTGCGATTTTTTTTTTGGTCAAAAATCCATCTGAGAGATCACATATGGAAATTTAAAAGTTTTTTTAAAAAAAGAGTGAATAGAAAATTTCAAATAATTTAACACAAGTTTATTTTCATCAATATTGGTACATTGATTTCTTTTTGTTACATTTCAACAAATTATTTTGTTGATTGGGACAAAACCAAGTTTATTTTTACGACAAGAATTTTTTAACCAAGATAATCATCGAGCTTAGTGTGACTAATAACTAGAACATGTACATGGCCTTGATAATATAACAAAACTAAACACAGGTTTCAATTTTTCGATTCTAAGAAAATGATGTTCAAACTGTGACTTGCTGCACCATAACAAATATCAAAATCCTGCAAATGAAACTTAACCTGTATGAATTTGGGTAGCCCTATTTGTTTCAAGCACAACTTAAGATAACCACTATAAGAAAAACAAATCCTGCATATCCATGATGCTTTAAACATTATCCAAAATAATATGTAAGACTAGCATTATGCTACAAGTTGAAACCCCAGTTCTCGCGCAGACATTTACAAGATGACACAGGCTATCCAAACCAAATGCCATACATGAAGCATCTAGTTCGAGCAGCATCCAAATCTCTTGAAAACCGAAGAATCCTCTTTTACGTTTATCGTCTGTCCTATAGATGGGACTGCAGAGGAACTGCCACTTTCGCCAGCCTCGACTGCTTTCTTGCTCACTATATGGTATATCTGAGAAAGAACCTCACTGAATGCATTCTCAACATTGGTTGCTTCCAAAGCAGAAGTCTCCATGAAGTAGAGAGATTCCCTTTCTGCAAAAGACTTTCCATCTTCTGTTGGTACAGCAACAAGGTGTCGGAGATCCGACTTATTTCCAATAAGCATGACCACGATGTTGGGGTCTGTGTGATCTCTCAACTCTTTCAACCACCTGGCAGCATTCTCAAATGTAGCACGGCGTGTGACATCATAAACAAGTAAGGCACCAACAGCTCCTCGGTAGTAAGCACTAGTAATGGCACGGTATCTAAAACAAAAACACAGTTCAAAGTGAGTCAACAAAGTAGCTGGCACAGAAATAAAGAATTTCTCCACCTATTTGTATTGGCATGAATAATCTCTTTCAAATTACATTGCAATATGATGCATGGGTACAGGTACGCAAGGTACGCGTATGTCAATAAAAAACTAGTTTTTCTATAAAATATAACATGAGAAAATTAAATTGTTCAATTCACAACAAACCATAACAATAAAAGTTCAAAAGATAAAAAATTGTATTAAGTTACAACAACAAAAAACTAAATACATAAATAATATTATCAGTATATTAGAAACCCATGAATCGCAACAGAATACAACAAGAACAACCAAGTTTTATCCCACTAAGTGGAGTCGGCTACATGAATCAACTTTCACCATAATATTCTATCCAATACCATGTTTCTTTCTATCCAAATCGTTAATCTCGAGATCTTAATAAAAAAAAGTACCACAAGTACGATACAGATACTTCACCATTTTAGAAGTACCAATGCTTCATGGTTCAAAAACTGCAACAGAAATGCATGGACCAACACAATTTCTTCATATAAAATCCATTACAAAAATTGAGGAATTTTATTAAGTAATACCGAACAATTGAAACTAGGCTGCTTCAAAATTAGAACCACCACCACAACATATTTTGCCTGAAACAGAGTTCATATGAACCCAATATCATTAAGTAAATGTGAAAGAATATCACTGGACACATCTTAAAATAGCTACAACTATCTTTTGATTTTCCTTCATTCTATTATTTTAAGAGATAGTCTGTTAGGATATAGATAACAAGGATTAAAGTAGTTAAGACTTTTAGAGTAATTAGATCATTTGGTTAGTTAGAGCAATTACTTGTATAAATAGGATGACACGAGGATACAGGGGAGTCGTCAAGTACTGTAAACACTAAGTGAAGAGAGCAGTGATTCTGTTGTAGAAGGGAAAACTCTTGGAGGATATATCTCGCTGTCTCTCCCCCCTATTCTTTCTCATTTATTCAGTAAAATACTTATTTCTTTTCAATATTACCACTCTCCATTCTGATTTCCCTTATTTATACAAACTATTCCCTTCCATCTTACTAACTAATTGTCCCCAAGTCCCAACTACATCAATGTGTCTATATCCTAACATAACCCACTATATCAAGTTAGTGTATCATGCAAATAAGACTTTTTGGGTCCATATATAGGTATAGATACAAATAAAAGGACCATACTTTTTTCTTGATCATATGATGTTAGTAACTAGTTGTTATGTTACATTTTTCCTTCATCAGGTTTGAACTTTTCTCCTTCATCAGGTTTGAACTCGGAACCTGTTACTCCTCCAACTCCTTAGCTCAAATCAGTTGAGCTACCCAACCTCAGCCAATGAACAATACATGTTAAGCAAGTAGTTAGCTGCTGCATACTGTCTTTTCCATATAAACAGCTAAAGACCGCCTAGGAAATAAACATGTGTTCACCTGGGATTCGTCGAGTGGTAAGGATAACGCTAATCTGATGTTATGAAAACAATGGCCTCTGAGGTAGGGAAGATGTACAAGAAAGTGGCCTCTAAGGTAGGGGAAATGTACAAGAAAGTGGCCTCTGAGGTAGGGGGAATGTACAAGAAAATGGCCTCTGAGGTAGGGGGAATGTACAATAAAATGGTATCTGATGTAGTTGGATGGACTGTTGTACACAAAAAGGATTCTACTGAAGGTTGTCTCATCTCATTCTCCTGTACATTTTCCTACACTTGGTGCTGCAGCCAATTCTATAACAGACCCACATGACCGGCTAACTATTTTTGTCTTCTATCTTTGTTATTTTTTAATTGATAATCACCAGAAGAATGGAAGGGGCAAGAACTCCTATGGATTACTGCAGCTAGATTTACCACTCCCGCACCTGCCTCTATATATGTAGAAATTGTAGATCTGAAGTGTAGAAAATTCCCCAAAAAACAAGTAATCAACAGCATACCAACCATATAAGTAACTAGTATTAATCATTAAGCCTGAATTAGTTCACCAAGGCTACATGGAATAACAAAGATAAGGTTTGCAAAGGAAGATGCACATTCGGGGCCAGTTGGGGTGTCATAACTTGTACATAATTAACAATTTAATAAGAATTACTAATTTATATTAACAAGGAAATCACTATTCCAATAGTCTGCTAATCATTTCATCTGGTTGGTTAGGTAGACTCAAAATACTTAAATGTATTTTTATTTTTTTTTAAAAAGGTACAGATATAAAGGACTTGATGCTTTACAGACCAGAGACCTTCATCAACACAATTTAGAACAAGTCTCGTATGTACATGAACCATGGTCAAAAAGCAAGTCAAAAAATGTATGCCATATGTGGATTATAACATATAAGCCACTGGATTAAAAGTGATAAAGCCAAGAGAATAAAGCTGGCATTCCTTAGTTGAAGTTTCCATAAAAAAAAGGGTATAGCTGGTAGTTTGAAAATTGAAATTAGCATGGATGATTATCAATTGTTTTGCAATAAACCAAAAACCCTATTTATAATTAAAAGCCAATTAATATAGTAAAACCTCTAGAGTGTTTTTGGCTTTAGGCTTTAGAGTACGGCAACATTGTTCATGAAATCAACCGCAAAAAGTATGAGATTTAGGTAGTTGGCAAGGCCATGGTAGTAGTTGCATATTTTCAAATATAAGGTAACTGAGCTCTTTAAGTTAGTATGTCTTTCGATTTTTTTCACTAACATGTCAAGTTCAGTAATAGTTACAGAATCTGCACAACATAATAACAGATGAGAAAAGCGCAATTTCAATGATGTAGGGAGGTCCAATCCAAAGTTGTCAAACACGAGATTTTACATCAGTGTTGTGTATGATTTCATGATGGAGAATATTAAAATTGATTTCTCTTCCTAGCAGATGAATATTTAGTAAAAAAATACAAGTGTTCGGTTAATTTCGGACAAATTAAATTTTTCCTCAGAACCTCAGTTTGACTAGGAGCGCAGTTGGAGCTATAGGTTAAGACCCAACATCACATTGTTCACCTCCTTTGAGTGTCATCGATTGCGGATGATGGACCATTGAAGAAATCCAAAACCCCGCCATAAAACACCATGTGGCAATTGTTAAATATTATCCACTATGGCTGATATTTGACAACACTGACTTCTTTACAGATAGTTCAAGTTGGGATGTTACTATGTTAGATGGATTTGTGCTGCCTGGTGCTACTACCGAAGTTAATGTGGTGTACACATTTTAAGCATGCTTGGGAGATTCATCCAAGGTAATTAAAATTGAGATTTCACACAAAATTTGGAAAGAGAAATTAAAATCATAACATGGATCGCAAGATTATGCAAAATTCTTCCTCAAAAAAAAGTTTTATGCAAAATTCATAAAACTCATATTCATTCGTATATACGAGTATAAAATAGTACAAGTACGATCAAGAAGACCTATAAATCATATTCAAGTACTTTATAAATAAGCTAAAATTCATAAGCATAAGTAAGTCATACAAAATTATAACTCAACTTCACAAGTCTAAAACAAAACAACTAAAACTAATAATAAAAGAAAACACTAAAAACACCTAATCCTACAGAACAGAAGACAGAGTGTGACATGCAAGAGAGACGGCCAAGGCAGAAGCAGGCAAAAAGGATGAGGCGCAGACAGCGAAACAATCATGAGGGAGCGAAAAGGTTGTGTGTGAATTGCTTGTGTTTTAAAATGAAAATGGAGGCTTTTATAAAAATAGAAAACATATCTGGGTTTTTTATGACCCACAGATAAAAAACAGATCATCTTCTCAGCCCGCGCACAAAGGATTTTCTGTAACCCTCGAGTGAGCGGCCTTGGTCGTAACGCCACACCCAAAATCACAGATCATACTACTCTGCAGTTAGCCAGTGAGGTTCTACCTGATTTCACCAAAATTTGATTGTGCATGTACTATTCTTTGACATTGAGGTCAAGGATAAGCGTTGAATAGTGCATTTTTCTATCAAAAAACTGATTTGACTACCATGACTTTAGGAAACACTCATTAAACCTTAACATGAAATGATACTTGTAACAAATTAACTACCAAAACTCCCAAAGTCCTCATACACTCTTCACTTTTTAGCTTAAATTATAAACTGCCCAAAATTGCCAAACAAAGCATTTCCTCAGACCCTCCAGTCTTCAACCTTACATCTTCACTCCTCTTCGGCCTTTTACTTTCCCAAGTATTTACACGAGACAAACCAACCAGAAGTTTTGACCTAACAAGAGGAGTACTACTTGGAAGCTCAGTAGCACCAACATCTCTGAAAAATGTGTGTGTGTTTGTGTAAGTGGTGTCCGAACTTGACACTTGTGATTACATTTAATTTATTAATTTTTTCAAAATTTTACCGGTAACAACATGTCAGTGCCGGTGTAGTGTTTCCCATGTCTGTGCTTCATAGCTTGGAAGTGATTCAAACAGCAATTATCAAAATATCTACTCATCTTCATCATAATTTCACAATAACCCGATATCAAGTCTAGAGAAAATTAAAGTTCACAAATCCATAATTTTTAATTTTTTTTTTAAATTTTAAAAAATAAAACACAATTGAAGTCTTTGAAATAACATCATACAAAATGATCAATCAATTTAAACAATCAATTAGGATACAGAAATAGTTTCAAACACTAGGTCTAAGATCTGAACCCTAAAAAAGTAAAAACTAGTATATTCACTAATTTACTAACATTGATCAATTCAAAAAATAATAAAAATCAATAGGGAAATAAGAACAACACAATAAGGGTTCTAAGAAACAGTTACAAATATTTTGAAAAATCTAAAAAAGAGGATGAAAAGGGAAGAAAGAAATATATACCTTTCTTGACCAGCAGTATCCCAAATCTGAGCCTTAATGACTTTGGAATCAATATTCAAGCTTTTGGTAGCGAATTCAACGCCAATAGTGGACTTTGATTCCAAATTGAACTCGTTTCTGGTGAATCTAGAAAGCAAGTTGGATTTTCCAACTCCGGAATCACCGATCAGTACGAGTTTGAAGAGGTAATCGTACTCGTCATCTGCTCTGTATCCAGCCATGATTGAAGTGAAAAAATTGATCTCAGTGGTTTGTTTCAAGTATTGGAAATTGATTGACGTTGTTATGTAACGGAAAAGAAGAACGTTAGAGGGAATTTTGGAATTGGAAGTTTTGGTTGAGATGTTGCGAAATGAATGCACGCTGGATTGTGGGGATCGTGTAGATAGCCAAAACTATCGCTTTTCTCGTTTTATTATTATTTTGTAAATATATTAGGTCGGTAGTGGTAAAATATTTGGATTGAAAAAAAAGTAGAAATGAAAATTTTGTATTTGAATGTGTTTTTATAAAATAATAAGAAAAATAAATTGCCATCAAATCTAGTAGTTAAAGACTATTTTGTGTTGACTAAACAAATATGAGATTAAAGCTACTCTAATTTTGGTGTAATTTTATATTATTATTATACGGTAGAATTATAACATCAGTAGTGTTATATCAATATTTTAAAAATAAAAATATAATTTAACGAAATATATATTCATTATTAATTAAAAATGTAAAAATATTTTATATTTTTATTTCTAAACAAACATATTCAACATGATATGTGTGTATTTTTAATCATATATTATCTCCATTTTTTTTATTATAAGTTATTTTTTACTTTTCACATGTATTAAGAAAATCAATAATTGTTGTATGAAAATGAGAAATTAGAAATTTTAAAATTTGAAGATAAAGTTAATAGAGCTATGGTGATTTCGGATAACGGAAAAGCGACTTTCGGCAACTACTGTAAAGTTGATCGCTAGGGTTTGAACATTGTTTCTTCACCGTCTGAAATGGTTTAAAGTCCTAATCTTCGGATTAGAGACAAAATTAGGGGGAGGAGAAGGTTGAAACTGGGACTAGGGTTGCTTTTTCGTAGGGGACATGGGTCGTGGTTGTGGCTGGCCGAAGAAATAGGCGGTAACGACCCCTTCGGCAGTGGTAAAATTGTTTGCATCACCGTCTAATGCTCCTTTTATATAGCTTGAGTAAGATCTTGAATGATACAGGGGTAAGCCAAAGCATGACAGGGAAAGGAAAGAAAAGAATGTTGGATCTGATAGTTAAGGAGACAAAGGATGATACAATAGAATAGGCTATAGAAGCGGAATCGAATCGTCCATGGGTTGACATCATTCGAGGTAACCGAATCGCCTCAAATGGAATTGAAATTGAATATGCTACATCTATGATAATAGATGGGAAAATTGAAGTTCTGATTATTGAGCAGGATATCGCATCTGAGATGTTATATTGGGAAAATGCATTGGTAATGTATGCTTTGGGTCAAGAACTGTCAATGAATGATGTGAAGAAATTCATGGAAAATGTATGGAGCTTTGTAGCAATTCCACATGTTGTTCTATAATGAAGATGGCTACTTCATACTTGTATTCAAGCATAATTCATGATCCTCAATGATCCCACATGAGTCACATACTCACCGTAATTCCTTCCAGAATTACCACCACATCCCAAGACCGTCCACATACGAAAATCTCATAAAATCTCTGTAAGAGCACAGATTGTGTCTTAGTAATATCTCTATGTTTTGATGATAACATTAATGATAATTTGTATACAAGAATTATACTCTCTAAATTTGTTCTAAACTGTTTTCTACAGGCACAAAAGATTTTAATCTTAAAAGGCAAATTTGATGTGAACAATGAATTCTGAATGGCTCAAGAGCATCTGAAGATTAGAAGAATCTGAAGTATAAGAGCTTAGTCATCAAGATTCTGAAGATACAACACGCTGCATGTATTATCAAGAATCTGAATAAGAGAAGACTCTGAGTGAAGAGACTCTGAATGAGAGAAGACTTTGATCTGAGTGAAGACTCTGATCTAAGAGCATGCTACGCTTCAAGCACACAGCTGCACCAGACTCTGATTCATCAACATCTGAAGAACATATTAGGCTCTGAAGTTTCCAGAAGGTTCTGAAGACTGAAGACTCTGATATTGATTGTTGATCTGAATTATTTGAAGAAGAATATTTTAATATATCCGTTGGAATATGCCAGCAAATCTTTCCTTAATTGGGATAGACAAAATTCTCTGCAAGAATATTATTCCTCTGGTACATTCCTCATATGGTAAAATCACAGCTCAGCAGACAATTGCTACACCCACTATTTGTGCGCCGTCTCTCTGCTGTAATAGTACAAAGGACAGTACTATTTTGATATTGGAAATATCTTCTCTAACGGTAAAATATTCTCTCCAATATTCAAGTGGCTATATAAAGGAAATCATAGCTCATTCCTCAAGTGACCAATTATTGAAAATCTTCTCTCACGCGAAAATCTCTCAAGCTCTCATATTCTTTGCTGTTCATACACTGTTCTAAACTTAGAGAAATAACACAGTTGTGTTTATAGCTTTCATAGAAGCATTTCTTACTCTTTCATTGTATTACATTAATTTGTAAAAGAAGTTTTTCCTTAAGAGGATCTAGGTTAGATCAGTAGCTCTTAAGAAGACTAAGAACAGTTGTTCTTAGGTGTGCTATTTGTAATCAGTTGATTTGAATAGTGGATTAAGTCCTTGTTGAGAAAGGCAAATCACTCTTGAAAAGGGTGGACTGGAGTAGTTGAGTTCAACGAACCAGGATAAAAATACTTGTGTTTTTATCTTTGATTATTTTCTGTCATACTTATTCAACCCCCCCCTTCTAAGTATTTTCTCACCTTCAGTTGGCATCAGAGCTCCGGTTCTGAGTGTGCATTCGCTTAACCGTGACAGATAAAGATCCAGTGAGAAAAATACTCTGTTATTTATTTGGTTGCTAATATGGGTGATATTCCTACATCAAGCAACAAATATGAAGGAGACAGAATCAGCACCAAACCTCCAATGTTTGATGGAGAAAAATTTGATTATTGGAAGGATAGACTTGAAAGTTTTTTCTTGGGGTATGATGCTGATCTCTGGGATTTAGTCATTGATGGGTATGAACATCCTACTAAGGATGGCAAAAAGATTGATAGAAAATCAATGACTGAGGAGCAGAAGAAAGAATTCAAGAATCATCACAAAGCCAGAACCATACTTCTGAATGCAATCTCTCATACAGAGTATGAAAAGATTACCAACAGAGAAACTGCTCATGATATGTTTGAGTCTCTCAAAATGACTCATGAGGGAAATTCTCAGGTGAAAGAAACAAAGGCTCTGGCGCTGATACAGAAGTATGAAGCGTTCAAAATGGAAGAATCTGAGAACATTGAGACTATGTTTTCCAGATTTCAGATTCTAACAGCTGGGTTGAAAGTTCTGGACAAGGGCTATTCAACATCTGATCATGTCAAGAAGATCATCAGAAGTCTTCCTACCAGATGGAGACCTATGGTGACTGCATTGAAGCTGGCCAAGGATCTAAACAAAATCTCATTAGAAGAACTCATCAGTTCTTTGAGAAGTCATGAGATTGAGCTGGAGGAAGATGAACCCCAGAAGAAAGATAAAGGTAAATCCTTAGCTTTTAAATCTAACAAATCTGTTAAAGCCTTGCAGGTTAATGAAGAAAGCTCTGAGGAATCTTCTTCTGAAGAAGAAGATGAACTATCTATGCTGTCCAGAAGGATCAACAAACTCTGGAAGCACAAAGGGAAGAAGTTCAACAACTTCAGAAGATCTGATCAAAAGAAAGAATCTTCTGGACACAGAAGATCTGGCAAGAAAGAGATCACTTGCTTTGAATGTAAAGAACCTGGACACTACAAGAGTGAATGTCCCAAACTTCAAAAGGAAAAACCCAAAAGGAAGTTTGATAAAAAGAAAAAGGTTCTGATGGCTACATGGGATGACTCAGATGAATCTGAATCATCTTCTGAATCTGAGGAAGAATGTGCAAATGTTGCGCTGATGGCCAACACAGATGATCAAGATGAAGGAACGTCATCATCTGAATCTAAGTCAGAATCAGACTCTGACTCTGAAGAGGTATTTTCTGAACTCTCCAGAGCTGAACTTGTTGAAAGTTTATCTGACATGATGGAAAGCTACAGCAAGATTAAACTCAAATACAAGAAGCTGAAAAGCAATCTTGAATCTGAGATTAAGCTTCTGAGAACAGAACTTGTTGAGCAGAAAGAAATAAATTTAAAACTCAAAAATGATTTAGAAACAACTCAACAAGAATCTGATACTGAAACAGAGTCTAGTGAAAATATTTTAGAAAAATATGACTCCAGTTTTAGAAGATTTCTCACTAAAAGCATAGACAGAAGCAAAATGGCTTCTATGATCTATGGTGTTAGTGGGAACAACAGAAGAGGCATTGGATGTGAATCCTCCTCTGGAAGCAATCCAAAGTCTGTTGATAAACTCTTCATCAAGAAGACTCCTTTGTATTCTCATTTCAAGTTTGGTCATCTGAATGATATTAAACATACAAGCTCTGAAAAGAGTACTTATGTGTTTAAGCCAAGGGTTAGCCAGAATAAACACTATGTTGAAAAACAGAAGTTTAGGCAAAACCACAGAACATCTAACCCCAAAGGACCCAAGAAGATTTGGGTACCTAAAAGCAAAATAATACCTGTTGCAGATATCCTTAGCAGCAAAATCCAGACACCAATCATGGTACCTGGACTCTGGATGCTCACGACATATGACGGGCGAAAGGTCTATGTTCCAAAGCCTGGAACTTAGATCTGGAGGGGACGTGAAATTTGGAGGGAACCAGAGGGGCAAGATCATTGGCTCTGGTACAATAGGTAATGGTAACCTACCCTCTATTTCTAATGTTCTGTTAGTTGAAGGATTGAAACATAATCTATTGTCCATAAGTCAATTAAGTGACAATGGTTATGATATCATCTTTAATCAAAAATGTTGCAAAGCTGTATGTCAAAAGAATGGCTCTATCCTGTTCAGTGGAAAAAGGAAAAACAACATTTACAAAATTAACCTTTCAGAACTTAAAGTTCAAAATGTAAAATGCCTTTTGTCTGTGAATGATGAGCAATGGGTCTGGCATAGAAGATTGGGACATATTA